GGGGGGGGGGGGGGGAGGGAGGCTTCAGCGTAGACCAATGAATGAGTTCGAACCATGGTTGGCAAAGTTTCGCTCAGCATGTGGTCGCCAACTTAACACAGATTCATAAAATAAATTGCTCAAAAGAAAAACAAAAGAGCAGTTCAGACCAACAGGCACGCTAAGCTTATTTGAGGAAATGTCTACTTGCACGCATGCTATGCTTACTGCTAGCCTTCTTCTCTCGAACACAGCACCCGGCCATTATATCTGTATCTAGACTGAAAGTTGCACTAAATACCATCTAGTAATCACCCGCTGTTGTGTTTGGGGGGGGGGGGGACAGGAATGCCACTGTCTGCAAAAGTTGTGAGCACCTAGGAACCTTCCCGGAGTACTCAGGTGAAGTTTCCTTATCCATTACCACTGGAACGATACTGAGTCCTCCTGACGTGCACACATCGTGTAAAACATTCGGCGAGAGTATCTCCACCTCCTCCTCCCACACTTCCTGGTCCTCTTCCCACGTGACATAACGAGAGGATCCCTCCTCTTCCTCCTCCTCCTCCTCCTCCTCCTCTTCCTCCTCCTCCTCTTCCTCCTCCTCTACCTTCTCCTCCTCTTCCTACTACTCCTCTTCCCCCTCCTCCTCCTCCTCTACCTTCTCCTCCTCCTCTTCCTACTACTCCTCTTCCCCCTCCTCCTCCTCTTCCTCTTCCTCCTCTTCCTCCTCTTCCTGCTCCTCTTCCTCCTCCTCCTCCTCCTCTTCCTCCACCTCCTCCTCTTCCTCCTCTTCTTGCTCCTCTTCCTCCCACACTTCACGCTCTTCCCACGCGACATAACGAGAAGATCTCCTCCTCTTCCTCCTCCTCTTCTTCCTCCTCTTCCTCTTCCTCCTCGTCCTCTTCCTCCTCCTCCTCCTCCTCTTCCTCCTCTTCCTCTTCCTTCTCCTCCTCCTCTTCCTCCTCTTCCTCCACCTCCTCCTCCTCCCACACTCCCCGCTCCTCTTCCCACGTCACATAACGAAAGGATCTCATCTTCCTCTTCCTCTTCCTCCTCCTCCTTTTCCTCCTCCTCCTGCTCTTCCTCCTCCCCCTCCTCTTCCTCCTCCTCCTCCTCTTCCTCCTCCTCCGCCTCCGCCTCCGCTCACAGCCTATTTCTTTTTTTCTCTTCTTTCTTCTTCATTCTTCTTCCTTCTGCTCCCTTCCTCTTCTTTCTTTTTCTTTCTTGCTCTTTAGTCTTGACATCTATCCAAGACCAAAAGATAGCTTCCCATCATCGCCTTGCTAATTACAGAAGATGCCTGCCAAGTGGCAACACCCCCCTTTCTCCTCCTGCTTCTCCAACGTGCCTATAATTTCTTCGTACAAGTGCTCTTCTTCCCCCATCGCCTCCTTTACATAGATATAATATATTGTACATAGATAGAATATAATATAATAATATAATAATAGTATATATAATGTCTAATTATATTAAAAAAAAAATTAATTAAATTACTGATTTAAATTACTAACGTCCCTGCCAAGTCACACGATTAACACCCCACCTTGTCATTTCTTATAACCTCTTCTTTTCCTCTTCTTGTCTCCGCCGTTGTCGTCGTTGTGGTTGTTCTCCTCCTTCTCCTTTCACCTCTCAGGTCTGGCAAAGAAACTCCCCCAGCGAAAAAAAAAAGAAAAAAGAAAGAAACGCGCCGAGCTCGAAACACCATTCATCATACAGTAACTTCCTACAAGTAAAGCCAGTGCGGCTATGACCGCAAACATGGAACTATCACTGAGATGTCCTAGAAATCTCAATAAGATTTCGGGGGTTTATTTATATAAGTGTGCATCTACAGATCTCATACTCCAGATCTCTCTCTCTCTCTCTCTCTCTCTCTCTCTCTCTCTCTCTCTCTCTCTCTCTCTCTCTCTCTCTCTCTCTCTCTCTCTCT